GAACAAGCCATTCGCTTTGTTTTTTTTTTTTTACCACAGAACACTTTTCTCAGACAAAATATTAACCTGGCCTAATATTAGATTAGTCCCAATCTGTAAAATAGATATAAACAAGTCACTCTACTTGATTGGGAAAAGCCTCCAATATTAGAAAAGATATGCAGTAAGAAGCAAAAGAGGAAAAGAGAAAGTCTATAGAATGAGTCGAATGCCTGCTAAAACATGTTAAACATTGAGGCTGGCTCTTTAAACTTAGTTTTTCATTTGGTTGACAACCCACTTCACCGATGAAAAAGCTGAGACCCAGAAGTAGATAAATTGCCCAAGTTACATAGACGATAAATAAGAATTCTGAAACTTGAACTTAATCATACAGTCCCAGGAAGCCTCTTCCTGGAGCTAGGACAGGACAAGAAGAATGAGAAATGGCCACGCAAGGCAAACATCACACTGGCTCACTCCACCTCTTAGCGTCTGTCAGTGCCCAAAATGTTTTCAGAGAGTTGGGTCATGGGTTGGGCCTATGGACAAGATGTACCAGATACTTAGCCCACCCCTGGACTAAGCCATGTTCCCTCCCTTCTAAGTAGTTGGCTTTGTAACAGGTATGACCTAGTAATTAGGAAATAAACAGATACCTCCAAAAAGAGTCAACATCATCTCGAAAGCAAACGTAACAGGCTGGCTCTATCTAAATAGTCTCACCTTTGCTGCGTCAGTGGCCCCTGTGGCTCTTGCTAAACGTCTGGCTCTTTTCTGGGATTTGGCTTCTTTCTCCCTGGAAGAGAAAAAGGAATAGCATAGTTTAACATTGCTTGACTAACTTTTAGGTTTAACAGCTTCGGTGATAAACTTCATTTTGACTGCTCTCCTCCATCCAGTCTGGTGTGTCAGAAGTGGAGGTATGTCCAGAAATGGGCACAGTACCACAAATCTCTCCTCAACATTGAAAAATATCTCGAACATGGTATTAGTATAGGCAAGAATCCCTACCTTTAACTGGGTAACAGATTATCTCTCTTGAATGCTTCCAACAGCCAGATGGTCACCCATTCTAAAAGCCATCCTCTCCATTGTTTGAATGTGATTTTTGAAAGACCCTATTCACAGTCAACCAAAATCTGCCTGACTGTATTGATTCTGATGACAAACTCTAAGGACCCAAAGAGCAAATCAATATTCTCTTTCACAAGGCAGTCCGTCAGCAATTTGAAGACAGTTCTTATACCTTGCACAATCTCCTCTTTCCAGGTTAAGAAACCAAGTTTAATCCAATATAATTTACGTAAGTAAGAAAAACAATAATTGGATGAGTAACTCCAATGTGATAAACTGTCTTTTGAGTCTTAAGGCATTTTATTTCTGCTTTAATTTTTTTTAGTACATTTATTATATTCATAGTTTCAGTTTCCTGTTAAAACATCCTAAGTAACAAGAAGGACATTTTATAGTAAATAATATGCAGTTTACATTCAGCTTTCAAGAGAATAAGAAAGAATTATTTAACCTGCCTTGGGCCTCAGATCCCCACTAAATCTTGTCCTGCTTTCTTCCTCTTCCCATGATCTCTTCTCTAGAAGCAGCACATATGATCAGAGCTTCATTATCTCAATATTATTGAATATGACAAATGAAATCCCCTGACACATACCAACCTGGCATTTAAAAAGCCAATTATAACGTAATTATCTTAAATGGGTAAGCTTAATATTGGCTTGGTACCAGTGCTGAAATTTTGATGCTGTTCAGAAATTGAGGATGAAGCTCCTTTTCAAAAACGAATCAGGACCATCTGGTTTGAGGATTTGCAATTGATAATTCAAGCCTTTTTTTTTTTTTTTCCACCTTAGTGGTGTCATTGGAAAGAAGAAAACCAAACCAAGTTAAGAAAAATTGGATAGACATTGGTAAACTTCCAGAATTATTGTTGTTATTATTGTTGTTATCTTGTTATTTCTGAGCTGCAAGGAATTTGAAGCTACAATCTACCTTTTAGTTCATCTCACCCTAGCATAATCCCAAATGTCTAAAGACAGTGGCAGCTTACTCAATCAGGATGTATCCTACTTAAATCCTTCTGCAGGCTGGCTGCCCCCAGGACAGTCTGACATTATTCTCAAGGGGATCTTCTCAGTCCCTAGGCTACAACAGAACCAGGTATTAATGGGCCCAGGGAATCTGACTTTCTTTCTTAAATCCATTTTTTCCCCAGAACCAAGAAGTTCAAAGTGGAACTACATCCTCAAAAGACTACAGAGTGCTATATAAATACTGGACCCTCTGAAATGATTTTGAAATCCCATCTGAGTGATTGTTAAAACCTTTCCAGATGGGTGGCAATTATACAACTTTATCAGATGGAATTTGTCAGAATGATCTGCTAAGCATTTTTATTTAACCATTTAGGCTTAGAAAAATACATTTGAAAGAAAAGAAAAAGGATATGTTTACTAGTCCAGAAAATAGCTGGTAACTCAAACACTTGAAAAAAAGAAAACCTTTACTCACAATATCATTTTGCATGTCTCACATTGGTTGATGAACATTATTCCATCAGGGCTTTGAAAGAGTTCTTTATCTTGGGAACAGAATAATTTTCCATTTTTCATCAACGCCCTAAATTCACTGCATGTTTCCTGAAGAAAAAGCAAAAAAAAAAGTTGCATTTATTGCAACTTCATCAAAACAAGAATTTCTTTTAAGCAGAACCTCCTTGAGCGATATTATTTAATGCTCACTATCCCCCTTGTACAGAAGCCATTCAGTCAGTAGATACAAATAACATAAACAAAAATAATGACTCCGGCTTGTCTGTTGGAGATGGCAAATTCACCTGATAAGCACGTGTGTGAAACAATTAGTGAAATGGAAAAAACAAGGGAGTTGGAGTCAAAAGACCTGAGTTTATTTTCCAAAATATAGGAGATATTCAAAGTAAGTTCATCCCTCCTCTTCTTCCTCCTTTATTGCTATTATTGTGGTGGTGGTGGTGGTGGTTGCCATTATTACTATTGGAATATATTAAGATGACACATAAAATACCTAGCACACAGTAGACCAAGAGTAATTGCTGTGAAAAGAATATGAGAATGTTGCTGGAGGACTGAGACAAGGTATGTGAGCACTGAAAACTCCAAAGTACCTCTGTCCATATTTTCCATAAAGTGTATTGCAAGATACCAGCTCCTAGAAATATTAGCAGTTGTTAATTGGGGTTGGGGGGAATAATCCTTGGTAATATAGATTTGGTAGACAAATTTCTAGACTGAATTTCTTTTCTGAAAAAAAAAACACCTCAGATCCTTTCATATATAATTTCTCTTATGAGCACAGAGCGACTTACCTTAAAGCTAATAAAGCTAAAGTTCAGGGCCCTTCTCTGTCACAACCCCTTCCTGGAAGAGATCAACCCATTTTGCATTTTCATATTTTTATTCTTTTCTTAAAAAGTGCCTATACGCCCACCCCAACCACCATCACCACCAACACTACCAACACTATTACTACCATCAAAATCAAAGCTTGTGAATCTATGGAAGTACAGTGCAATTTTCCCAAAACTTGCTTAAACTTTTTTTCATTCCTCCCCCCCCTTTTTTTTTTTGGCACATCCTCTGGAACTACTATTTTACTATTCTATGTGACATCTTTGAAGACATGCTGTGGGCTTTTTTTTTTTTTTTTTAAATACCAGTGACTATTATGACACATTTAGGGAGGAGAGTGGAAACCATTTTGAATAATAGAACTGGTGGCAGAAACATAGTGGAATGATCTTCACAAGTGAGGGTTTTCTCTTCTCATTCCTTCATTAAATATATTTTATTGAAGGTCTGATACATGTTACTCTTTTCTAGGAGCTTGAAATCATTTGTGCATTTGAGCTACCTCAGTGAAGTACTGATATAAATTGTGATACTCCCTATTAAGTTAGAAAATTCACTAGGCCTTTAGAGCAAGTCTTCTGAATCTAAAGATTTTTTCTTTGTTTATTTTTTTATTGCTTTGATTTTGCCAAAAATAACAAATCTGCTTCAAGATGTTTATATCAGAAAATTAAAAAAAAAAAAAAGCTTTTGCTTCAACTCTAACAAACACAACTTCTTCCAAAGGATTTATTACAAGATTCTATTTGGCCTCTTACATAGTTATAATAATCATTTGATCAGTCAAAAATCACTTATTTATGAGATTACAATACTTTGCTAGGTGCCATAGATACAGCAGCAAATAGGGAAGAGGTATCCTTGCCTGAATGGATAATGTTGTACCTAATCTAGCCTCTTAAACTTGGTAGTCAGTTGGCAGCACTTAAAGAATAGTTAATGGTGAAAAGGAATAACTAAATAATATCAGAGACCAGCGGTGGAAAATTTTGCTGAGGGTAATCTGCTAAAATATCTCTAAGATTATTATTACTACCCAGTGATCTTGTCAGAGTAGCACAGTAGTAATTTCTGGCAACAGATTAACAACTGGGTATCCTGAGGTCTGTGTCTGATCTCTGACTCTAAAGTACCTTATGCCAACTTTGCAAGTTACTGCTTACCTGGCTGGATGTAACTGATTCTAATAAAGTCTCAAAATCCTTATAATAGAATCAGAAAAGAGCTTGGTATCTTTGTAATAGAAATATATCCCTTGTGAGGTAAGTCTTATAGAAAGTGCATAGAACAAAGACTCATGATAATGTTGGAATGAAGTTCTAAATAATTTCGAGTGGTTAATTGTAAAAGAATAGCATCAATCAGGATAATTCCTGAATTGGACTTTTCCAATGTCACAATTTGATGAAAACCTAATTCCTAGAAGACCCACTTTTTTACATAGGCATCAGAGGTGCAGAGAGTAGATTAAGAAACTTGCTCACTGTGTTTAATTGGCTTAGATGAGACTCAATGCTACTTTTCTGAGTTAGGAAATTATCCAATGCATTCTCTTGGGAAACAGGAAAATATCATAAAAATTGAAAGCATGAGCTGGGTTTTTCTCTGAGTAAAATGGAATATCCTTCCAATTACCATAATAGAAAAGGTTGAAATAGGAGCATATCCAAACTAAAAGTTTATCCTGAGGTGGGAAATGACTTTTTAGTAGGAGTTTACTTTCAGTATAACTTTCAGCTCCTGACTTGTTTTTATTTTGTTTTGTTATTGTTGCTGTTTTGTTTTCTCCACATCTTAAAATAACTGCAGCCTTACAGAGCCAGTTCTTTCTGTTTCCCTCACTGGCTGGGGTCTGGTTCACTGCTTTCCATTGTCCATCCCTAGACATCACAACAGAATCCTTCAGGAGCTGGCATCGCCCCATCTTGGTGCTAGACCACTGACAAGTTTGTTTTGGGCTTTGTAATAACCCTCTGTGATGACAAACCTAAGCATATGGTTAAGATCCTTGCAGATTATGACAGTGCTTCTCCCTGATGTTCTGGCTTGTGTTTATAACTTTCAACATGTTTTTGTGGTGTTAGAAACAACCCAATCTACCAAACTTGGAAAATAACAAAAATTTCAGCACCGTAAGAAAGACTACATCAATAGTTGTCATTTCTGACACAGTATCCAAAGACTATGATTAGAAAAGTTTCCCAATAAATGATTACTTCTTTGTGTTCTTCTCACCTTTTCTACTAATATAAGAAATAGATAAACTTATATTTTCAAAACATTTTTCAGTGAAATAGAGTTTAATGGTAAGAAAAATATCAGTGTAAAATTTGCACTATCTGTAGGAAATCCACCACCCTTGTCAAGGACTCTGAAAAAGAAAATGATGGCTTTATGTGCAGTGTGATTTATATAATATCCTTTTTTTTCCCCACTATAAAACATCCAAGTGGGCATGCTCTAGTTCCCAAAAATCCAGCCTTTTTTTACTCTCCCATACTTTCTGGACCTCTTCTTAATCAGCAAATTTAGATGAAATAATAGAGACTATGATGAAATTCTCTAAAACATTCCTGTAAGAAGTTTCTTTTTAATAGAACTGTTGTAATAAAATACAGCAAGAGAGTATTTTAACCATGGTTCTAAGAGTTTCAGTGTAAAGAGGAGTCGATTTATGGCCTTTGAGAGACATAGCAAATTTTACTACATATTTAGCAAAACACTTAAAATACTTGAAATTTGTGTTTTCAGTGCTTAATGGCACACATAGCAGTGTACGTATGTAAATATATAAAACGCATGTGTGTGTGTATAATCGGCCTTTTAACTTATCTTTTCGAATAGATGGAACAGTTTAACTTCTATAGAAAATGATTCTTTTATTTCTCAAAGAAAAGTGTTTCAAGAGTTGGTAAAGCATCCTCCTGCGTCAGGGCCTCTGCCATCACAAGTGCTTCTGCCAAGTCTACTGTAGGTTGCAAATACCTTCATGGCTCACTCGCTCATGACCATCAGTTTGCTGTTCGAATACTCTCTCCGGAAAGATCTCCCCTGACCATCCAATGAGAACAAATACCACCTGCGTTCCCAGGAATTCCTATTTCGCCTCCTGCTTTATTTGCCTTCTAGCACTAATTATCATTTAAAGTACTATATATCTTACTAAGTTATTTATTAACTTGTCTGTTTTCCTCCATTAAACTGTAAGTTTCCGAAGGGCAGGATTTTCATCTATTTTGTTTACTTTAGAATATCCCCAGCATCTCAAACAGGGTCTGACACATAATAGAGCATAAGAGATGCTCAATAAATATTTATTACATGAACTATATACATTCACTATATATAAGATACAGACAACCCCCTTTTTCATGATTACCAGAAAATTTCTTTTAGCTTCCTATGTGGTGTATCCTGGTATGTTTGGATGTTAAAAGAATGATAGTAGTTCACAAGTTGACTTATTTTTGGTTTCTATGAAAGAATTTCTATGAAATTCTCCAGCGCTCCTTTAACAGGGTAAATTGCCTCTTGCAGACATCAATCATCAATGACATGTTGAGTGTTTGTGTGCATGTGTGTATGTGTGTGCGAGAAAGAGAGAGAGAGAGAGAGATCATACCTGGATTCAAAAAGACCTGTTTCTATGTTTTTAACAAAAGCTATTAGCACCTATCAGTATTATAGGTTTGCATTGCTAACATCAAGGTGTTGGCCACAAACAATTTTTCTTTAGACTTCTTGGAATGGATTCAATGAACAGAAAAAGCAGGACTAACCTGATCTTTATCCTCACTGGCAGCATCTGGACAAAAATACAGAAACTGAAGTTAGGGAAATGTAAAATATTTAATAAGTGAAATAATTCACTTAATACAGTGTCTTGATTGTTTTAATGACAATATGTTATAAAACCACAGCCTGTTTTTGAACACGTTAAGATTGACCATGGCAAATAAAATGAGGGAGAGCAGCACGTACATTCACAAAGGTCCAATCGCTCAGCAAGTTCCAAGTACTTTGGAAATTAATAATCGTGTACTTTCTGACCTCAGCAAAATAGCAAATTTCCTGAAGCTCCATTCAGAGTAAAGTATGGCAGGCTACCTTTCAAAATTTTAACATAAAGTACATACCAAATATTATGCCAATTATAGTATAATTTAAAAGTATAATTCAACATGAAGTTTACATCATACATACACATAACATTCAATTTTCTGAATTCTGGCAACTCTGCCTCCTTATTACAGATACAAAAATTAAAGATCTGGTAAAAATTAAAATTAATTAAAATCACAAGACGATTATACTCTCTCATTAACATATTCTTTTGTACGTACACACTTATTTTAGGAAAGTGAGCACTATGTTTATATGTAATCTCACTGACTCTTTGACTCCGAGGTTTTCTTTTTAAAAATGTTAATGCTAGGCAATCCATGTTCCCTTCTAAGTCAAACAGCAAATGTAAAAACCTCTCTCCTAGCTCCCACAAAAGTCCCTCACTCCTTATGAGAAAGACTTTCAATTCATTTAGGATTTGAAAACACAAAAATAAAATAAGCTAGAATACACTACTGCTTTAAAATAAGAACGGATTATTGAATTTGTATTTTTAA